ATAATACTCAATGAAAAATAACTGGATATAAGAGGGAAATCAGAAACAATGTAAATGGAATTGTAGGGGCTAAAATGACACAAGTTATCAACCCAGAATAACAGGAGAGGTAAAATTAAAAGGAATCTCGAGGAAATTGTGGAAAAGAACTTGCCAATTCTAAGACTAAAAAACAGTATCTAGAATAACTCAGGATAATTGTAGCATCACGTTTGACACAGCTTAAGAGAACTCATAAAATGGTAGGTGGATCAGAAGAAACTAAAGCAGTGAAATGAAAAGATAAGAAATGTAGAATATAAAGAGGGAATCTCTCATTTTTTATTTCTAGAAATTTGCTGGACATAGTTGTTCCCACAATGAGAATAGATGGGACAAAAGTGCTGAGAAGTATTAGCCTTATTATATTGTTGGTATTGCATGCAGGGAAGAACATGGAACAACAAATATCAGTACGTACAATTGTAACGCACCAACCAAAAGGGGGGAAATAAAAATGGTAAGAGATTAACAATAAAATTATATTTTAATAAAGGTTATATAAATGTAAAAAAAATACAGGACAGGCTGGAAATCATATTTTAAAAAACACATCATAGAGCTATGATTAAATCCATGCTTTGCATTTTTGGTAGAAATAGCGCAGAAGTGATGCCATATCTTCCTATCAGGAAGTACATGGTGTTGCTGTATTCCATTAGTCATGACAGCTTGGATCACTTTAAGTTTATTTGTAATAAGTATTGTATTTCCATTTGTAATAAGTATCCTGTAGGAAGATATTTTAAGCCCAAGTGTTCTGTTCCTTCTTACTCACTGGTGTGTCACCCACGGAATATTCTTGCTTAAAACAATGATGGCAGTTACCAAGTCTTGTATACTGTTGAAGAATGAAAAGGAAATACGTTTGTGTTTTATAATTAAACGTGTGGTTCACTATATTCTTTGTGCCTTTCACCAGGTTGACAGGTCCTTTTTAATTCTCAAAGTTTTTTATCATGAGTAGATGCCAAAATTTTTGCCAAATGCTTTCTCTGCCTCTATTGAAATGACCATGATTTT